ACTGCTTCACTAATACATAACCTTTGTGTTGATTTAATATTGCACATTAAGTTCTGCCCGCTTTTCTTTTTAAAGAAAAGACAAATGGAATGACAGTAGAAAAAAAGAAAAACCACTTCAATTTTTTTTGTATATATATATATATATATATATATATACCTTTTAATTTTAATTTATAGATCTGCAGGTAGCCCTGTATAGTATTCACATGATGCCAGTAAGTACAGGAAAAGAAAGCTTCCTTCCAGAAAACAAGCTAATGTCTTATTTTTTGGCTTTCCTCTTTAGAGATAACCACTGTTTCTGAGTTTTATTTTTCACCTTTCTTTCCAGAAACATAGCAGGCATCTATAAAACACATCTACAGATACCTTTTACTTTGTTTCTAAACAGATTAAAGGATAACATAGTTTTCATACTGTTGTACATCTCCTTTGATTGTTGATTTACTTGAATATAGATTGGAGACTATCCCACGTCAGGACACATGAAATTCTCTGTTCTTCTTTAACGTTTCCAGAGTATTCTTGGATGTTGTATTATTGATTGTGCTGCCATGCACACACTACAGGGCATTCAGGTTGTCTTCAGTTTCTTGCCTTCATAAGTAATGCTTAAACCTCAGTTTTATTATGGTTTTATAGCTAAGAATGAGAGTCTTAAAGATATTATTTCTGACTTAAGGATATTATTTAAAATTTTTAGTTTCTTTTAATGTGAAATAAACACTCCAAAGAACAAAAATATATGTGCAGCTCAGTGAGTCATGGCAAATGGAACACCTGTGTAACCCCTGCTTGGGTGGAGAAGAGGCTGGTGCCAGCAGCACCCTGGGGGCCTGTTCTGTGCTTTTCTGAGGCTCACCTGTTTTTCTCCTCTACTTCCTTGACTTTAATACCACCGTTTAGTTTTTCTTGCTTTTGGACATTTATAATTGATTTGCACAGTGTATATTTTTTTGTGTTTGGATTCTTTTGTGCTTTTAAGGGCTGACCATATTTTTTCATGAAAATGTAGATAGGGTCACTTGTAATATATTATTCCATTGGATGAAAATATCACAATTCATTTATCCAGTCATCTGGTCATGAGCATGTGGGTAATTTAAGCAATCAACTATTTTGAATAATATTGCTGTAAAAACACACTACTATTAGGTATATAGCCTAGGAGTGTGGTTGTTGGATCATAGGATCTATGTGTGTTCAATGTTAGCCAAACTGTTTCACATATTTTATACATGTTTTGTACCAACATACATAAAGTTTGCCATTGCTTTATAAATAGGTGGTAGTACCACTTTTTTTTGGAGCTTTAGGCTTTCTGGTTACCACATATTGGCATACATAGTTGGGGTTTTTTGTTTTGTTGTGTTTTAGTTTTGGTTTTTTGAGACAGGGTCTTGTCATGTAATTCAGGCTAGCCTTGAATTTGCAATTTAGTCCAGCCTGGCCTTGAACTCACAGAAATCCTCCTGCCTCAGCCTCCCGACTGCTGGGATTTCAGACCTGTGCCACCACACCCATCTAGAATCGAGATTTTAATTCAAATTTTGATTATCAATTAAGTTCAAGATATTGCCTTATTTTGGCATCTTCTGGGTGAAATACCTGTTGAAATCTTGTGTTCATTTTTCTGATAGATTGTAAGAACTGGAAGAGTATTTTTTATATTGTGAATAAAGCCCTTTGTTGACTTAGATTTAACAAAAATTTGAATCCCAATGAATCATTTACCCTTTCATGTCCTTAATGTTATTTTTTGATGAGAAAAGTTTCTAGTTATAATGTAGTCCAATTTACAGACTTTCTTTTTATAGTGATTTTTTTCTTGTGGCATGTGTGTTGCTTAAGTGTAACAAACCTATTCTCTTACATCATATTCCAAAAAGTGTCAATGTTTGCTTTTATTTATCTACAATTTATTGTTGTGCATGATGTTTCTCTTTTCTCATAAAAACTATTTATTGAAAAGATTATCTTTTATCTCTGAAATGCATTGTTATGTCTTTTCGAAGTGTGTATTTACTTGTGGTTCTACTTTGAAGACTTTCCCTTTTACTCCATTGGTAATTGATATCACATTTCCTAGTGACAGTAGCGTTGTGCAAATCTTTCTGTCAAGTAGGATAAATTCCTTCATCTTGTTCTTCAAGACAGCTTGCATATTCATGACCACTTGCATTATATAATTTTTAGAATAGGCTTCTCAATTTCCTTATCAACAAATTTTGGGTCTTTATTTATGACTTCTTTACATCTATAGAAAATCTAAAGGAGAACTGGTATCTTTGTAATACTAGAATGTTGCTATTCATTTGTATTACTGGAATCCTGTGTGTATTAGTGAGATTGGCTCATAATTCTCCTTTCTTATAGTAATTTTATCAGGTTTTGGCTAGTTTCATAAAAATGAACTGTTTTTTATTCTCTCAAGTGTCTGTGTAGAATCATACCTATTTCTTTACCAATAAAACCTGGTCCTGGAGTTTTCTTGACAGAAAGTTTTTTAATTTACAGGTTTAATAATAAGACTATTTTGGTTTTTATATTTCTTCTTAGTTTTATTAAAGGATTTGTGCATTTCATTACATTTTCAATACTGTCTTAAGATCATTGTTATGGCCGGGATTCAAAAGCCTCATTGGGCTGAAGACATTTGAGGAACTGAGTAGATCATGGGGTTCTAATTCCATCAAGGGGATTAATGCATTGATGAGTTCATAGATCAGTGGGCTTATTGGAAGGCGAGTCTAATTGGATGAAGTGGGTTATACCCAGGCCATGTCTTTGAAGGTCCCTGGTCCCTTTCCCCACCCTCTCTGGCTCTTTTGTTCTCACTGCACTTCCCAGTTTCCATTGCTTGAGCACAGTGTCCCTCTTTCATGATGTTTCTGCCTTGGAACTAGCTGATCATGAACCGGAACTTCTGCACTCATGAGCTAGAATAAATCTGTTCTCCTTTAAATTGTATTTGTCTGGTATTTTGCTCACAGTGACAAAAAGCTCACTAATCCAATATTTTTGAAATGAATTCTTATGATTTTTTGATAATATTGCCTTTTTCATATGTAATATTGGTTATTTGTGTTTCTTCTCCTTCCCTCCCCTCTCATCCTTCCTCCCTCTCTGTCTCTCTGTCTGTCTCTGTCTCTGTCTCTGTCTCTGGCTCTCTCTTTCTCCATCCCATGGAATGATTATCAGTTAATTGATTTTTATGATTTTTTTTGTCTTACCAATTTTCTCTATTGTATATTTGATCTCTAATTGATTAATTTCTATTCTTATCTTTCTAGTTCTTTCATTTCATTTCATTTATCTTTATACATTTTACTTTTTATTTCTAACTTTGTGAGAAGGTTACATAGCTTACTAACTTTCAGCTTTTCTTCTTTTGTAATGATGCTGCACATTTCCCTCTGAGAACGAACCTGGCAATATCCTATAGTATTTTGACAATCATAAATTAATCAAAATTAATGTATTAATTCATATAAGTATGGAGATATTCTAGTTATCTTTCTTATTAGTGATTTTAAATGTAATGGGACTATAGTCAAGAACATTTTGATGAATTAGATCCTTTGATATTTGTTGAACTTTCCTTGATGGCTCAGCATATGGTTGATTTTTGCCAATGCTCATTGTGTCCTTGGAAGGAAATTGTATTTTGAAGTTGTTGGATGCTGTTTTCTACAAGGCAATTAGTTTAAAATCTTTTAATTGTGATGTTCAAGTCTCCTAAATATTTACTGAGCTTTTTGGTACTTTTGTCATTTACTGAATGTTGTGTTTATGTCTCTGGTGACATTATGCGTATTGGCCTTTCTATTTCTCCTTGTATTTCTTTCAGTGTTTGCTTTCTGTATTTTTAGGATATGATATTAAGTAAAATAAATTAAGAATAAATTAAAATGGACTGATCATTTTCACAAGTACTGATGTCCAGTTTTTTTTTGTCTCTACTCATTTGGTTAATGTGCTTTGCCTCCAATGGTGCATTTGGTCTCCTTTACCTGTTACTAACAGCATTCTTTTGGTTAATGCTTGAATGCTATATCTTTTTCTACCTTTTTATTTCCTTATTTTGAGATACATTACTTAGAAACAGTACATATTGTATTTTAGAAGTTGAATATGACTATCTTTATCCTTTAATGGGAGCATACAATTCCTGGGTTTCAACCTCTCACTTTATGTTTGTTTTCAATTTACCCAACTTGCTTTAAGCTTCCCTTTTCCTTTCTTGGTTGGTTGTTTTTCATGGAAAGATTTTTTTTTAGTATTCTGTCTTTTCCCACTCCCATCCCCCATCCCTTAGATGAACTTGGGAGTTATATCATTACAGAGATATTTGAAGAACGGTCAGCAAGGAGGTTCATGTGGCTGGAATTATATAGGTGCACAAGAGTCACTGTGGATGATATCAGAAGGCCAGCAGGGCAGTGAGGCTGTGATAACGAGGGAGAAAGTTACAAGTAATGTCTCCAGTTCCTTGTAGAAGGGATTTTGCTTTAGTTTTTATCACAAAACCAATTTAAAACAAGCTACGGCAGTTGAACAGAAAACACAATTTTTTCTTTTAGCTTAAATTTTAGAAGGTTTAACATAGGCTAAGCACTTCATTAAGAATCTTACACAGAAGATTTTGTTTGATAATCAAAATACAAGAAGAATGTAGGTTTCACACAGGTAATTAACTTACCCAAAATCTCAGATTGTATATAGCAAAGCTCACAGTAAGTCCATGTTGTCTCTTACTCATAATTTCCTATTTTTTTGGTTCTCTTTATTATCAGTGATAGAAAATTTACCAGTTCATTGGAGAGATTTAGCTCTGAACTGTGTATAGGCTAATCTCCCTTCTTTTAGTATACACAGAACCACCAAAGGATCCAAGACATTTGGTTGTTTTATCACATGGATCATTAACCTGTTCTATGTTTTACATGAGACATTATGTGTACCTAATTCTGAACCATTGCTTTATTTTTTCCACAGGATGAAAAGGGGCATTATGGGTGGATTAATTCAAATTAGACATCATTATTGAAAAAAAAATCATGTTCCTCTGAGGATATTGGTATGTAATTAAGTGTACTATATGTTTTGTCTAAAGTCAGAGTGACCAATTATGCATTTCCCACTTTGTAAAATACAAAAATGAGTAGACTATGCAAGAAAGACATATCTAAAATAATCTGGTTATATTTATAATGTCACAAATGAATCACATTCACATTCCTTGATTTATCTCTTTTATAGTCATGTCTGATTAACCCTTCTCAGAAGGATGTTGGCTAACCTAAACTCTGTGAAACAGTCAGGAGGTTGAGTAATTCATTTTATTTTGTACACAATTTGTCTAGAAAACTGAAGATTTATTGATGCAATGTAGAGTATTAGCTGGCAGGTAAAAATAAGTCAGTTAATGAATATGATTAGACCAGCAGCTGGAATGAATTGCAGTGTTTGCAACATCAATGGAATTAATAGCCCTTAAAATAATCAGGGAATCAATTAAAAGTCCTCATTGGGATTCAGAAAACTGTGTGTTCATGTGTTTAACTTTAAAATGAGCACCGGGAGAAGAAATGGCCAAATCTTCAGTTGGAAAGTACTTAAAGATTCTAAGGGTGTCTGACTATTTCTGGGCCCAGCCAGCTATTGCAGGAAACCCTAGTGGTTACCCCAGCAGGTGGCATGGAACACAGGCTCCAAACTGTGCTTCCCAGAATGAAGCAACAGGAGCCCATGAGTGCAATTGGAAGGGGTGTACTGACCACACTCCCTGAAGGATTGCTACCTCGTTAACCTTTTGAGAGGAGTGCTGCTTCCCACCAGGATGACAGAAAAGAAGGTGATCATTCTGGAATTATGTTCTCCTCTAATGGTCACCCCAAAGACCTTGAAACGTTTCAAGTCTGAAGTTTTGAGCTGAATAGTCTTGCACAAAAGTCCTTAGGATGAATTAATTGAGCAGCATAATGTATAAGCTACTGAACACAGATATTATCTACCAGTCTCCAAACTAGATAATTAACCTCCATTCCCCCACTAATAAACAAATTAAACAGGCTTTATAAACAAGGCCTTTATGCTTTTACCTCCAGGGAAGAGCTAAGAGCAGTATCTAGTGTCCTCATAATTGTTCTATATGCAGACTTCAAAGGTTTCTCTTCAAGTCAGTAGGAAATAGAAACAAAATAATAGAGCTGGGAAATTTAGTTAGTTCCGTCTATACTTCTCAAAAAACCACTAAGGTGGGGAATAAATTCATGTCCTATTCCGTATCTAAGTCCAAAATACATTAGCTGGTTCACATGTTAACTATATCCTGTATAATTTTTGTGCTGCTTTTTCTCATCCTATTAGGAGGATGTCGGCCTGGGTTAGATCCTGCAGTTGGAACTATTTCCATGATGAATATCTGAGAAGTTTTGAATCTGTGAGATTTCCTACTGATTTCTTATTGCCCATAGACCTCCAAGCTGCAATGTCAGCCCTAGACCCAGGCAACCAGTGTCCTGGCTTTATCCTGTACCACTGAGGGGAATCTTCTGGTTGAACTTCTCAGGACAGCCCAGAGGATATACCCTTGTGGCACCTGGACTTCTCTTTTAGACCATGCTGTAGGAATCTGGGACCTTGAAAGTACTGCTCAGGTAGTTGTTAGTTGGCTCCCAAAGCTCCAGTTTGCTTCAAGAGGATGGACTGTAGTGCTCTGGGTATATGTACCCCTAGATCTACTGGAGGGCCATGTGTGGGGAAAATGAGCACTGGGGGCAAACAGAGCCTGGACATACGGGAAGCATTTCTAAAACATACACACAGGCCCTGCAGTTGGCCTGAGGATGGGCAAATGGGCTGGCCACACATTAGCGAGCCTCTGTGTGTACTTTTTCCTCAGATCTCAGTGTGCCTTGCCAAGCTGCCAAAGTTCAGCCCCTCCATGATCACTCCAGAAGTGTGATTCTTGGATTTCCAGCAATGTGCTGAAAACACCATTTGCCTGCTTATTAATTTTCTTTTTTTCCTCAGGTACTCTAAGGTACACTTGACATTTTACTGCTAAGATTATCAGAGGTGAAAAATGTAAATTCTACTGTGTATCCTGCCTTAGTTTAGACTCAGCATCTTTCTGTTCTAGAATCTTCTTGGCTCCTTATGTTTGGATTTACCTTTTGTGGGACTGATATTTCCCTGGAATATGTTTATCATGTGTCACTTCCTTTCTGCCAATGGCTCTCACTGTTTTATTTTGGTCTAACCCTCTAGTGCCATCACGTGTATGATATATGTGTTTTGTGTGAGCTGAGTAAGTTAGGAGGGAACTGTACACTCTGCAAAGCGTGCCATGAAACCTCAGAATCTAAAGGCCTAATATCCTTCTGGGATTTATGATGTTGATCAGTTAATCAATTTCAAAACCCTTAGAAAGAAAAATGTATTCCCTGTGAGGAACATTAAGGGGAACAAATTATTTTTTTCAGACAATAGCTGAAAAGTTAATACGTATACATCCTAGGCAGGAGGCAAGATTCTCTTTTCGGAACAAGAGAGGTAGGAAGGTAAAAGCTAGATGTAATTCCTTCTATTTCAGAAAATGTATCACCTTGATACCAAGAAGGTACATGCATGGTGAAAATAATGCCAAGAACTATCATGGCTAGCAGAATTTAATTCTATCTCTCATCACTAACCACCCTTGTGACCTTGGCAGTTTACCTAAGTACTTTAGGTCCCTCATTTATTTTTTATTTTTAAAAATTTTATTTAAAGAAAGACTAAACAAAACAGAAAATAAGTAGAAATAATACATACGTTCAGAGAAAAAAAGTAAACAGTAAGAAATTACTAGTTGATGTTTACATACTGTCCTTTTACAAATAGTTGTTCAAGGTACAAAAGTGGAACATATAAAGTGGGAATTCAAACAATGAGACTGCAAACAGTTCTGTTCAACTATCCAACAAAAACTTAGTAATATGGTTGTCAATCCTATACACTTAAACATACATGCAGTTATCCATATCTTCATTTATGGCGAGATCATTGTGAACAAAGAATTATAGTATTGCTTGATTTTACATCATGACACTCCGGGATCAGCACAGGATACTGTAGTCTTTATTTTTTAATTTTAATTAAAGAAAGACTAAACAAAACAGAAAATGGGTAGAAATAATGCATACTTTCAAAGAAAAAAATAAAAATAGTAAGAAATCACTAGTTGATGATTACAGATGGCCCTCTTACAAATAGTTATTTAAGATACTAAAGTGGAGCATATAAAGTGGGGATTCAAATAGTGAGACTGCAATCAGTTTTGTTCAACTATCCAACAAAAACTTAGAAATATGGTTATCAATCCTATACACTTAAACATACATGCAGTTATCCATATTGTCAATTATGTTGACATTGAACAAACCGAAGCAGGCTAATATCACTCTGAACAAAGAATATATTGTTGGGTGTCACATTATAACACTCCAGGATCAGCACTGGGTACTTTAGTGTCTCTTTTTCTTCAAAGTATCTGTTCATTTCATCATGTGTCATAAGATCAGTTCTCATAAACTGTTTATAGGTTCTACACATGCATGAGTCTTAAACATGTATTTCTATCCTTTCTACTTTAGAGGGAGAAATGAAACAAAGCAAGGCAAAACAAAACACATTCCTATAAACACATGAAACAAAAAAGACATAAGACCATTGTATAAGGAGTTCTACCATAGTTCCTGTGTTGTCTCTTGTTATCTTCAATAGAATTGGCTATATCATCAGACATAGTATAATTGAATATAGCAGTACATAACATTAATAAAAACACAACTATGTATATAGTATAAAAACAGGCAGTTATCAAACCAGAATGTGTATTGTAGTGAGTCTTGTCATCTTCAGTATAGTTGCCTGTATCTCAGACTTGATACTATCAATCATATCAGTTTTGAATAAAATCTGTTGATACCAAACAGCAATCAAACAAACCAGATTTAACTAAGATCAGTCATGATAAAACAGTGTAAGTCATACAGGACTCCAGAGTAAGATAAGAAATTAAAGACGATTACTGTGCTATATCCTGATGTTTTTCGGGTAGCTGTCTGTGCCCCCAAATCTAATGCAAGTAGACAAACTGGGACAGAATAAAATCTAAGCAGAGTGGTGCAAGTAATGTGGGGTTTAAATCCTGATACACTATTAACAATATCTTCTGCTATTTTTTAAAGACTCTCCTTCCCCTTTCACTTCCCCAGGGTATATTGTGCATTTTTGGGTCTGACCAAGACCTTTGGTTTTAAATTGGGTGTAGGGCGCAACCTGCTATTTACCTAAGTGATTCCAAACCTTCTCTTTCCTAGACTTGATCTCTAATTGTATTGCTTTACCGATTAAAGCCTGTCTTTCCAACCTATCCACAAATACTGGTCTAGTTGCCCCTTTTACTCTCTGGTTCTCTGTCACATAGAGCATTGTTTTAATTTAGTGTATCAAGGCCGTCTATATTAGAGATTATAACCAACCTTCTCTGCCTCATTTCTGTTCTTTTTTTGCCATCAGTTGTCTGCTTATCTTCTTCATTCTGTTCCTGGAATCCTAGTACTTTTCTCTCTCTCTAAAATGCCCTGCAGTATTCTCTGTAGAGTTGGATTGGTGGTTGCGAATTTCCCAAGTTCCTCTTTGTCTTGGAAGCATCTTGTTTCTCCATTAATTTCTAGAGACAGTTTATCAGGGTATATCAATCTGGGCTGGAGGTTATTTTCTTTCAGGGCTTGGAATATTTCACTCTAGGCTCTTCTTGACTTGATGGTTTGTGTCGAGAAGTCTGCTATTATTCTGATGGACCTTCCTTAATAGGTGATCTGTTTCTTGTCTCTAACAGCTTTTAATATTCTGTTCTTATATTAAATTTCTGGGATCTTGATTATTATATGCCTAGATGTAGCTCTGTTTTGGTTGTAGGTGGCTGGAGTTCCGTATGCCTCATACATCAGAATATCATTTCCTTTTCCTATGGTTGGGAAGTTTTCCTTAATTATTTCTGTGAATAGCCTTTGTAATTCCTTTGTT